GCCAACTGACGAAAACTGTGGTGTGTTTTGAAAGGGGAAAAAATAACTAGGCTAATATTTCTCAGGCTCCCTGACAGCTGGAGTCTGTTCCAAGGCACTGATAGTGCACACTTGCCAGTGGCCGTCCTGATGCTTTGAAGTCACCGCACATCAAATGGCTTCCTTCTAGGCCCCAGATATGAACTGAGTGCAAATAGAGTCCTCTGTATGCACTTGTACAGTGCCTTTGAGGGAACAAATTGTACCCTAAATAATTTTCAGATCTCCTTGCGAATACTTCTGTAGGGTAGTTCTCAATATGAATCAGTGGTTGCTGTGAGAAGGACAGGCAAGGGATCCATGTAAGGCTTTCGCCTCTCTCCTTTGTGACCCGAGATGCTCCCTAGATGCTTCAGTAAGTGATGGACTACTTCCCGCCGGCTGTGGCAGCTGGCCTTTGGCTGCCAGGTCTAAATCAACGTAACTGAATCTTTTAAAAGAAAAAAAAAATCAATTCTCAGAATAACTGAGAATAAAAGGGCCCTTATTCCTGGTGAGTGGAAGGAGTGGGGGAAGGGATGTTTCCTTTACATCCAGTGCTACGGTATAATGAAGTATGTTGGCCGTCTTCCAGGAACTTGAATGCAACGGGAATGAGAGCTGGTATCACTGCTTTGATACTGCGGTGATGTGTGGACTGCGTTTCTTCTCTCTTAGCTTCCGTTGCCGTGTGGCCAAGCCCGGCAAGAGGTGGCCTCCCAGCACCGTGTCCCGTGCTGCCTTCACTAGGCATCTGAGGACCGCAGGCATGTACTAGCACCGTAGTCTGTGGCATGGTTGTGCGTGCAAGCCTGAATTCTGAGCCTGGACCTAACTCACATTTACAGCTAACCCTCTGTCTACATTGGTCCCTGGGGTTAGTGGACGGGTCCAGTGGGAACACAGGGCGCTACACGGGAAGATACGTGAAAAGCTAGAGGCAGGAAGCAATGTAGAAGCAGAAGTTGATAAAATAAAAGATGGAGGTCAGGTGTTGCTGCACCAGCCTAGTCCTGTTAGGAGAAGGCTATGAGACTCCAAGAAAACCCCAACTAGGGAGGCTGGTGAACTGTATGGGAACCCGGAAAAGGCTAAAGTGTGGGCCCTGGCTGTGAACCACAGGGCCCAACTTTGTAAGTCACAGACTTTGGGGTGGGAAGGGAGATTGGAGGCTCACAGAGATAGACAGGGCTGCCCAGAGAGCCAATATATGATTCTGTTGTAAGGACAAGGCCTCCACTGCTTTTGTTTATTCACTGAGGATTCATAGCCCGTGTCTTCATCTTGTCTCTATTCAACAAATCTTTGTCAGTTCATAGTTAGTGCTCCTGGGCCACTGATAACGAGGCAAAGGACAGTACCACGGGAGAGGTAGATGATACAAGATCAGCAAGCATATGCCTCATGTGGCGGTGTGTGCGCTGTTGGAAACGCCAACAGTCAGGGTACCAAGATGTGATGTTGGCAGGTTTTGAACTCTGTGTGTAGATCCATGGGGAGCCACAGCCACTCTGGGAAGCAATGTTTGAGCCGAGGTCTGGAGGAAGTCTAGGACTGGGCTGCATGGCCACAGAGGGATCTTGTGGAGAGAGGAGCATCTGGCTGGCCTCATTTTGTCACCTGCTACCAGTGAATCATTCAGGACAAGGTCCAGTGGAGAACAGGGCATGAAGAGAGAATGGGTGAGCAGGGAGTGGATGCCAAGATAAAATGGAATTGCTTTGACCAGAGGAAGAGGCTGTAGAGGTTCAAGTAGCAGGAAGAAAAGATGTCCACCCTACTCGAGGGCAGTGGCTCTCTCGATGAACTCTGCCCGTTGACAAGCAGAAGGCGTGGGGATGGGAACTTGAGTACCCAAGACCTGGGCGCAGCGGGAACGAGGTGGACAGAGAGAGCTCTGGAAGCCACGTGACACTCTGGACTTTCAGAGTTCCACTGATGGTGTCAGAGGGAGAGACATGGCAAAGCAGAGAACAGCCATGGAGACGCCCTGCACTATGTCTGCCTACCCATCCTAGGTGTCAGCGTCTGCCCTCCGTTGCCCAGAGAAAGTGACTTACTCCTTCACAGTCAAATGGGATTGGGGTTTCCGCAGGACACTGCCTTGCCATCGCCAAGTCTCACTGTCCTCGGGAAAAAGGGGCTGGCAGCTTGTGCTCATACGGTTGCCTGTGCACTGAGGCCTACGGACGAGACCAGGGTATAGGTAGTATTGTTCATCATGTTTTAGCATGTATCATCAATGCATTCCTTAAGATTGATAAGCGTCATCCTAATGTATGAACTTCCCATAGTTATAGTTTATTTACCCCTAGATCTTTCAGTTCTTGGCAGCTTTAGCGACTACAAATAAAGTACCATGGTTTCTCACAGCTTCTCGGACACACTTCTAGACATCTGTGCCTTTGCCCATGCAGGTGGCTCTGCCTGCATCCTGAGTGGGTTATACCTGAGGTCATCTTTTCAACCATCACCCTTGAGTCTTGACTAATTTCCATAGATCCCTCCTCTCCTTCAGTCCTTTGTCAGTCATGTGTACCTTTGGAATGGCCCTGACTTGCTCCAGTGCCTGGTAGAGGAGTGGCTCACTCAGTATCTAGGGCGTGGAGCCAGAAAGGCAGTAACTCTGTAGGCCATCATGATGCTGGAGTTTTTGTTGATTGTGCTTGGGCTACTGAGTTTCCCACATCCCACGAGGCTTGTGGTTGTCTGGCCAATGGCTGTTAGGAGTTCTGGGATCACTTCCTGGGATTCAAGACTGGGCATAGAGGCTGGCTGAAGAATCCAACTTGGACTATAGAAAAAAGCTACACCATAGAGTTGGAACCAATACACTAGGACAACGGTGCCTGCAACCCTCTCCAATGCAGGCCAATTGGGTTTTTGTGATGAAGAAGACACATCTTTGAATTCTTCTTGAAATGGAAGTCGCAGCTTGATAGGGGCTGAATAAATGCAGTGGGTGTGGCCACGGGTGATTTTTACCTCCTCTCTTTAGTCTCCACTGAGGTTTGGGACCACTTAGGAACAGATGAACCAGTGTCCTGGTTTGTCTAGTGCCAGTGGTTTCAGAGACCTTGGATTTAGAAGTTACCTGTTCCTCTAAAGGGGTGACATGAGAGAGGATCATCATGCCACTTAACCCGGTGTGCCGTGTGCAACGTTAACTACTGAGACATCACCCTACCTCCAACATTCAGGCTCGGGCATGGTTATACTGCTTTAAATCCAAACCTACAGTGAGCAGAAAGATGTGAAAAATGTAATATGGTAAATAAAGAATCATGAGCTACTTTAAAGTTGGCAGGTAGTTGAGGACAAAATACAGGTAATTGTTAAAAAGATTTGCACAATTAAAGAGAAACCTTGCCCTGTTTTGCACCGGGACAGAAGGAAAAGTATCTGGAGGGGAAGACCTCACTCACACATGCAAAGCTACAGCTTGTAACAATACACACTCAATTTGGAAAACTTTCATTTAAGAAGAAAGGGCAGGGGCTCCTTGTCACAACAAGACTACCTATAGCCATGTCTTCTCAGGTTCAGCCACCTGGACACTCAAAGGCCACTACACTGTGGTAAAAGGGGGCCCTAGTTTCATGGGGTGCCTATAGTAGGATTTGGTGTTATCTCCTATGTAGTTCTTGGTTTGAAGTCATGCAGAATGCAAGCCTCGCACAGTTATGGAAACCTGCACCAAGGTTTCAGAAAGATACTGAAGCCAGGAAGTGTGTGACAGGGTCAGATTTCCTGCTATCAACGAGGCCCTGAAGGACATTGCGCTATACTGTGAAGATGAAGCCCAAGTTGTCATGGAGATCCTAAGATGCTGGAGATGCCAGGACTGTGAGAAAAGCTAAAGTCCTCAAATGTTGCCAGCTTGAGAGAGAGGGCACATGTGCTGTAGGCAGCAGGGATTATATGGATGGCAACCTGAGACTTAGATGATTCCACTGCGGACCTCAGATACCAGACATGGAGCTGGAGGGTGCTGTTGGAACTGTAGGACTATGGGACTTTTACAGTTAGGCTGGATGCATTTTGCATTGTGACATGGCCATAAGCTTATGGAAACAGTGGTGGGATGATTTGAATGTAAAATGTCCCCCACAGGCTCGTGTGTTCAAACATTTGCTCTCCAGCTAGTGATGCTGCTTTGGGAAGTTTCTGAAACAGGAGATAGAGCCTAGCCAGAGGAAACCGGTTACAAGAAGGCAGTCATCAATGACTGTATCTCAGTCTGCTTTTGCATCTGAGTTCTCCTGGCTTCCTAATCTACATGAGCAGTCATAGTCACACATTTTCACTGCTATGAACTTCTTCATGATAGACTGTCGCCACTCAACCCCAAGACCAAGTCAAAGCCTTCCTTAAATATGGTCTGTCAGGCCTTTGATGAGGACAGCAACAAGAAACATAATACCCACAGGTGTAAGGCCTCAGATTGGGTGCTCATCACGGCAAGCAAGCAAACAGCCTGAAGAAGTGTCTGTGTGTGTGTGTGTGTGTGTGTGCGTGTGATTCTGTTGGACTTCATACGATTGCTATATAATAAAAATAGATTTTTTCTTATTACATCACTGAATCTTAAAAAAGCAGCTGAGGTTTCCCGGTGTCGTTTGATGGTTCCTCCATGCACTGGGTAAGGGGGGGGGGTGGTGAATATGATAAAATACATCATGTGTATGGAAATGCAATAATAAAACTCATTATCATAACAATTAATATATGCTAATAAAAAAGAATTTAGTGAGTCTGGGGAGGGGCCTGGATGCTCACGTTAAAAGTCAAGACAGAAGGAATGGCAAAGCTGGCTGAGTGACTCTGAGGCTGTAAGAAACAGGGGGCAAAGCTTAAAGCCCAGGGTTAGCATCAACATTCCAGGAGGTAGCTGTGACCTACTTAGTGTGAGTCAGGTCAGGGGACTTGTAGCTCTTATGTGACGTTGTCTATGTGTTATCTTACCCCTTCTGTCTCCTCAGCCATCATGTACGTCATGGGAGCGCTTGGCCCTGCAGTAGGATACTTACTAGGTGGGCTACTCATTGGTTTTTATGTCGATCCCAGAAACCCTGTTTTCCTCGATCAGAGCGACCCTCGTTTCATCGGAAACTGGTGAGTGGTTCTTACATTTTGCATTTCATTTGCTGGAGATGGTCAGCCAGTATTTCCTTCACAAGCAGCCGTTTCCTTATCCTCAGAGCTTATCACAGTTCTGTCTGCAGTTATGATTTCAGGCCAGAAGAGGCCACCACATCTCACTACAGATGGATGTGAACCATCACGTGGTTGCTGGGAATTGAACTCAGGACCTCTGGAAGAGCAGCCCCTGTTCTTAACCCCTGAGCCATCTCTCCAGCCCCTCTACCCAGAACTTATGAATGTGGGACCTCCTGTGCTGAGGGGATTTACAGAGAGGATCAGATGAAGGATTTGAGAGTGTCTTAGGTGAAGGGAGGAAGGAGGTAGCCAGGTTCAGGGATCTGCTGACTACAGCAGAGGTCATGGCGTTCACTCTGAAGATGGCGGAAGGGTGGGGGGGGTGGGGGGGGGAAGGCTGCAGGCAGAGCCTCTAGAGGTTAGAAAGGAAAGATGGGCTGCTCTCTAGCCAGGACTTTGGATGGGATGTGCAGATGCCTGAAGCTCAGAGCTAGGAGCTGAGTCCATGTGCAGTTGGAGCCGATGCACTTGTGTTACACGAGTCAGTCTGTATGTGATAACTTCTTATAGCAGCAACAGGACACTAACACAGAGTCATTTGGGGGTCACTGAGTCTTAAGCAGGAAGAGGGCTTCTGTGACCCTGAGGGGACTTTCCTGAAAGATTGCCTTAACCCTGTCTTCCATGACCTTTTCTCTGTATTAGAGGGGAAAACAAAACAAAACAAAACATTTCTTTCTGTCTTCCTTAGGTTTTGTTGCTGTGATAAAACACTGACCGAGACTGACTTGTGGGAACAAGGGGCTTATACCAGTTTAGAGGGTACCATCCATCATCGAGGGGAGCTTTAGGAAGAAATAAGGGGAGCAGGAACCAGAGGAGTTCTGTTTGCCGAATGCTCTTCATGGCTTGCTGCTTGCATCCTTACTCACCTCAGGGCCACCTGCCCAGGGTGGAACCACCCACAGGGGGCTGGGTCCCCTCACATCCCTCACGAATGGATGTGCCCACAGGCTTGCCCACCCCAGTCTGATGGAGGCCGCTGATATTCCTTCTTTCCTGGTGGTCCTAGTTGGTGCGAAGTTGACAATAACTTGGAAGGGCATGTCCACCCTGGCTCGGATCTCCGGCCCTACTTTTCCAGTGCTCCCCTCTGAGCAGATCTTTCCTCTTTGGAAAGTAGTTTGTTTCCCCACGGGTCCTGCACATTTAGCTGCCGCTTGCCGGACTTTGAGAGTCCTGCCATACCAGCAATGCAGAACTCGGGGGAAGTTTAGCATTAGGTGGTGTGCTATTTGTCCGCTTGCCTGGCTTGTGCTGGAGCTCTTCGCAGTCCTCAGTTTGCAAGGGACAAGTTATTTCTTCATGACAAGCACAGCCAGTAACTGAAAATGTTGGTGTTCCAAGTTCATGTTGCTGGATACATACTGTCCCGAGTTCATGTTGCTGAATATATACTGTCCTGAGGTCATGCTGCTGGATATACACATATCTATATCTGTATATCAGGCATAGACTGACAGATTTTCATTTTGTGGCAAAGCAATATTTTAGTATTAGAAATTACATGTGCCACACAATTACTTTCTGAAGAGGGCTTAGAATGCTTTATCCTATTTTATTACAGGACATGAACCCTGCAACTCTGTGGTTGATGGGAAATACGCTTAACACACATTTCTAAGTAGTTAACATATTAATGAGGCTGTTTGACAGTTCTGATTTTCATCATAACCATCACTGAAGCTAGACAGGCTAACACCAGGTGAACTTGACCTGTAGAGTGTCCGAGTCATACAAAGAGGAGAGCCGTTGTCAGTGGTAGGGGACAAACATGGGCTTTTGAATTCTGATGGTGAAAACGGCTGTTTTCATTGTAGTTCTGGAAATGGGTCAGAACAGACATTGTTTTTTCAACATTAGAAAAGAGATGCCCGAGATACACTTACGGACGTCCGATGGATTCCCCGTCCCTGTTCCACCTGGGTATGCTGAGATGTATGATGAGGGAGGGACAGACAGATGCAGCAGCTTCAGGGAGAAGGGTAGGAAGGATGCAGAAGCCCTCATCTGGCCCGTGCCTTATGCTGCCATCGATCAGTTCTCTCGTGGACAGGCTCTCACTCAGCTGCCCTCAGAAGGTTCTATGTGGAGCGCACGCCCTACAGTTGCGTTCCTCTAGTGTGCCCCTCACAGCTGTGTGGACCTGGGAATTACTTCTCTGTTCTTCCTTGGGTGTAGCGTTGTTGTAAAGAGCGAGTTGACTATGAAGAGCTCCGAGTTCGTCCTGTTTTGCCTTTCTTGTATGTCCTAGCCTTCGGTCATTTTTTTTTTTTTTGAAGTTCAACAGGGGGCTCAATGAAGGGCTAGACACACACCCAGCAAGTGTTCTATCTCTACAATACAATCCCAGCCTTCTCCTTTAGCTTCTTCTTTTTTAATTTTAATTATTTCTTTTAGCTCACCAAGTTGCTCAGGCTGGCCTTGAACTCACTTGTAGCCAAGGCTGGCCTTGAGCTTGCAGTCCTCCTGCCTCAGCTTCCTGAGTAGCTGGGATTATGGACCCACATCACCTAACCAAGGCATCCTCAGTGATTTGAATTTTATCAATAGTTAAGTAATTTTATCTATCCACTTGATGACTTAATCTTAATTCTATAAATGATTGTCACTTTAGAACTATCTGAGTCTGTTTAAAAATGAATTTTAATTCTTTTCTATTTGGCAGTATTGTTTGCAATAGGTTTCTCATTGAACGGAATGCCTAGCAGTAAAGATACGTTTTCATTAAAGGCTGAAGGAGTGGTGGGTGAAACTATGCTGGCATTTATTAGACAGTGTGTGTCAAGCGTTCTACTAAGAGCTTTGCACACACACAGTCATTTAAGCCCTTAACAATCAAATGTAGCCTTTAACATCATGTCCATTTTATGGGTCAGAAAATTAATAATCAGGGGATTGAATCACTTGCATAAAACCTCTGTGTGATGTGCTGGGTTAAGGACCGGACGGAGGCAGAGCTATTTGTCAGTCTGCTACCTGAATGACTGGCCCGAATAATGGTTCATGAAAGGATTTAAATGCTTGAGCCTTTCAGTGTTGAGTATGATTGAGGTGTCTTTTCCAACACATGCTGCACATTGTCCCACCATGGCTGCTCCCAGAATCCTCTTCAGCAGTGGCTCGGTGGCTGCCTTTGCCTCATGTTTTGTATGGTTATTTCTTGAAACTATTGAGGAAAGTGAGCCGGCTTGTTTTGCTTTGAATTGGCCCCTGTCCCGTTTTTATTTGCTTGCTGTAATTCTTCCCTTCCTCTGGGTGGTTGGGGTGTATCTCAAGGATTGGAAAAATAGTTCAGTGGCTAAGGTGCTTGCTGCGCCAGCCTGGTTACCTGAGTTCATTCCCCAGAAACCACGTAAAGGTTGACAAGAGAAGCAATTCCACAAAGATGTCCTCTGACCTCCACACATGTAACGTTCCGGGTGCACTACCTCCCCCTTGTCAAAACACACTTGTATTAAATAAACATCTTAAAAATATAAAAAGGAGTGTATCTTGAATGATTGTATGAAATTCAACATCATCACAGGCTCGATGAAGACTGAACATCTAGTCTGAGTGCAGATCTACCTTAACCGCAAGACCAAAGTAACTATTGCGCATTAGCTGCTGATTCGGAGTGGCTGTTTCATTAGGTCTGCTATAAGCATTATCTTATTCACATTTGAGGACTCTCAGAAGCATTTTTACCCCCTTTTCCATGTGAGAAATTCAGTCAGGAGAAGTAAAATAATTCCCCAAGATTTTAGAGTTAGTGAGTGGTGAAGATAGCAGCCAAATCTAGTTGTGTTTAAACTGCAGCTCAGGAATATCCTGACTCCCCTGCCTGCCCTCTCAAGGAGGGAGGATGTGAGGATGTGAAGCAGCCTGGGGACTCCAATTCCAGAGGGTAATGGGGCTGTGTGACTGATGAGGATCCGTAAGCAGCCAGATTCTGAAGGAGCCATGTTGACCTAGCTATGTTCCCCAACACTGATACCTGCCACCCATTTTAAACCTATTTCTTTCAATTTATGTATTGGGCAAAACTTTCGAGTACCTAACTGGTCCCAGGCACTAGATAGGTGATAATATATCTCCTAGGAAGCTTTCTGGAACACAAACTTCAAAATAAGATCCATCGCTCAGCTGTCTAAATCTCCTTGCATTTCTTGGAGGGTGTCTATCTTTGGCTTACGGTCGTTTTAAGTTCTTCATGACAAAGATCAACTCTGAATGTCTTGATATACATCATTTTGTTACCTTCTGTGGGGACTGGATAAGTGGGGGCGAGCAATACATTCTTAAGTACTTGGAAAAAAAATATTTAAGCCCTGTTAGCAAACAGAATTACACTAGACATAAAGCTAGAGTGTAGCTTCAATCTCCATCAAACATGATGGACAAACAAAGCACATTTGACGAGAGCTATTTGCTTTCTTTTAAGAAAATTGCTCCTCAAAGCCTGTGAGGTAGTCTGTTGGTTTTGTATGAAATTTACTGTAGCCAGGTATGGTGGTTCATGCCTGTCATTGTGGCATTCGGAGGTAGAGGGAGGAAGGTGAGACAGTCAAGGTCACCCTAAAATAATCATCAGTGGAGGCCAGTCGGTGCTACATGAGACTCAGGCTCAAACAAAGCAAAATAAAACAAGCACTTATGAAATGCACGCTGTAGCAGAACAAGTCATGTTAGCAGATTTAGTCCATACTCAAATTTCTTGAATGACATTCTAATCAAGTTGCTGAACACAGCAGTGACTGTAGTGCCATAGTAATTATGAATTTTCTTTCTGGGTTCGTTCAGTTTTAAAATGATTTCTTTGCAGGGTTGTCATGACAAGCCAATTTTGATGATTTGTTCTTACTTCTAACCGGAAGCCATAAATGCTACTCACATTTCCCGTTTTTTTTTTTTTTAAGGTGGAGTGGATTCCTCCTTTGTGCCATTGCTATGTTCCTTGTGATATTCCCAATGTTTACTTTTCCAAAAAAGCTTCCTCCTCGACACAAGAAAAAGAAAAAGAAAAAGTTTTCTGCTGACGTCGTTAGCGATGATGATGTCATCAAGGAGAAATCAACCACCAGTGAACAAGTGAACAAAAAAGTTTCTTCAATGGGCTTTGGAAAGAACGTCAGAGGTAGAGTATCTTTTAAATAAAAATACACACGTGGTACTTTAGGCCCGAGCTCTACCAAGTTGGGGTCGAAGAGTGTGGCTCAATGGTAGAGAGCAATTCCAGGGCCTTGAGTTTGATGCTCAACAGGGCTCTGAAATTGGAACGGTGGCCCTACACAGTGTCCCTCACAGATGTTTGCTTCTAGCTGAGTAGATCGGAGAGAAACGCTGCAAATGCCATTGTAGAAATGTGAGAGAGTGGCCTCTTTGAGAGGAGGCGGCAGACAGTGATTCAGGGTAGGGTGGCAGTTGAAAAGAGGGATTAATAAGAACAAAACAAAATGACATACATGTATAGAAAAAGCTACAGTGAAACTCGCTACTTTGTAAGCTAACTTTAAAAAAGAAAATTTTGGGACGGTTTCCTCTGTGTAGCTTTGGAGCCTGTCTTGGAACTCGCTCTGCAGACCAGGCTGGCCTCGAACTCACAGAGATCCTCCTGCCTCTGCCTCCCGAGTGCTGGGACTAAAGGCATGTGCCATCACCGCCTGGCTAATAAAGAAATTTAAGGGAATGATTTTATCTGTTGAATCTGACAATAATTATAAAAAAATTAGGCTTATATTTCATGTCTTTAAAAGGATGTATAGCCTGAAAACCAGAGTTCCATTTTTAGATCTCACACTGGAATGCCCTCTGACTTTAACACACGTGGTGAAACAAGCCTGATATTCCTGCAGACACACCATATACATTTATACACACTAACGGTGAAAAAACAAGGAACTCCAAAACAAATTCCTAACAATTCCTTTGAATGTGTTTTGCAAAGTTACTAGTAGATAACAGATTAAATAGTACAGGAAATGGCCCACCCTGCAGAAAGTTTGAGCATCATTGCTTGAGGCCATGAAGATAGCCATATCTAGATGTAGCATTTGCTGTAATCACTTGTCTGATTACTAACACTGTGGCTGCACTGTGTTGTAAAGGGTGGCTTGTTTTAGGGGAGCAGTATGGTATTATGGGGATAGCCTTATGTAACTGTGAACCTCCTCTAAAAGGAAATATTCCCGTAGCTGTACCAGTTGTCTTTGTGGTTCTGACCTGGAGGAAGGGTGTCTAAGGGATGGACTGCCCTGTTTTTCCATTTTTACTTCTCTTAAAAGTGAATAGTTTAGCAAACCCTTAACACCAGCACTTGGGAGGCAGGGGCAAGGGCAGGGGCAGGGCTGGGGGCAGATTTACGTGAGGCAGAGGTAGAGACAGATTTCCGTGGATTTGAAGCTGGCATGGTGTATATAGGGAGTTCCAGGACAGCCAGAGCTACATGGTGAGACCCTGTCTCAGAAATGCTGATAGTAGAAATAATAATATAATTATAATTACTTAACAATAGAGTTCATATAGATAGATTAAGCAATCTAAAATCTAAACATCTTAAATTGCTCCTAAATAGGCAATCTTTCATCTTTTCAATGACAGTGAGTCCTCTTGTTTAAGGGAACCTACAGTGACTCCAGTTCATTACTCCAATCTCATTTGCTGAGTTAAGTTTTTTCTTGTTTGATATTTATTCTTGTTTTCAATTTGAAACAAGCTTGTTTTACATGTCAATCCCAGCTCCCTCACCCTCTCCTCCTCCCCCCCCCACCAACCCCCATCCCATCCCCTTTCTGCTCCCCAGGGAGGGTGAGGCCTGCCATGGGGGATCTTCAAAGTCATGGCATTTGGAGCAGGGCCGGCCCTCCCCAGTGTGTCTAGGCTGAGAGAGTATCCCTCTATGCGGGATGGGCTCCCAAAGTCCATTTATTCATCGTATACTAGCGATAAATACTGATCCCCTACCAGAGGCCCCATAGACTTCCAAGGCCTCCTAACTGACACCAAATTCAGGGGGTCTGGTGGGTCCTGTGCTGGTTTCCCTGCTATCAGACTGGGGTCCATGAGCTCCCCCTTGTTCAGGTCAGCTGTTTCTGTGGGTTTCTCCAGCCTGGTTTTGACCCCTTTTCTCATCTCTCTTCCCTCTGTGCAACTGGACTCAGTGTTTAGCTGTGGGTGTCTGCTTCTGCTTCCATCAGCCACTGGATGAGTGCTCTATGATAGCATATAAGATAGTCATCAATCTCATTATCGGGAAAGGGCATTTAAGGTAGCCTGTCCATTATTGCTTAGATTGTTAGTTGGGGTCATCCTTGTAGATTTCTGGATATTTCCCTAGTGGCTGATTTCTCTTTAAACCTATACTGGCTCCCTCTATTATGGTATCTCTTTTCTTGCTCTCCTCTATTCCTCCCCTGACTCAATCTTCCTGCTCCCTCATGTCCTCCTCTCCCCTTCTCTTTCTCCTAACTCCCTCTCATCTCCCCCTGGTGTTCCTAATTTGCTCAGGAGATCTTGTCCCTTTCTCCTTCTCTGGGGGACTATGTATATATCTCTCTCAGGGTCCTCCTTGTTTCCTAGCTTTTTTGGAGGTGTGGATTGTAGGCTGGTGATCCTTTGCTCCATGTCTAAAATCCATATATGAGTGAGTACATGCCATGTTTTGTGACTGGGTTACCTCACTCAGGATTGTTTCTTCTAGTTCCATCTATTTGCCTAAAAATTTCAAGATTCCATTGTTTTTTTTTTCCCCACTGAGTAGTACTCCATTATGTAAATGTACCACATTTTCTCTATCCATTTTTGAGTTGAGGCGCATTTAGGTTGCTTCCAAGTTCTGGCTATTACAAATAATGTTGCCATGAACATAGTTGAACAGATGTCCTTGTTGTATGAATGTGCATCTTTTGGGTACATGCCTAAGAGTGGAATTGCTGGTTCTTGTGGTAGATTGATTCCCATTTTCCTGAGAAAATTGATTTCCAAAGTGGCTGTATGAGTTTGCACTCCCACCAGCAGTGGAGGAGTGTTCCCCTTTCTCCACATCATCTCCAGCATAAACTGTCTTTGGTGTTTTTGATTTTAGCCATTCTGACAGGAGTAAGATGGTATCTCAGAGTTGTTTTGGTTTGCATTTCCCTGATGGCTAAGGATGTTGAGCACTTTCTTAAGTGTCCTGAGTTAATTTTTATATAAATTATAGAGCATAATGTTTATCAGATGCTTATGATAAAGTAACAGTGGGAGTTTGACTATGCATACGCTGAAACAAAGGAATAAGATGAAGTTACTAATATGCCATAGAGTTGGCATTACAGCCCAAGAAGGATGATAGATTAGAACATTGTTAAAGACTTCTTGTTAAAAGATAGCACCAATATTTGGAAAATACTATGTCTCTTCATATAAGTTGTAAATATGGTCTCCTTCCTCACCATGACTCTGTGATAGTGTGTTCTTTTGTAACTGCTAGAATAACTCCTAATTCTCCAGTAACATGGAGGAATTCTCTGCATGCTCATGCAGTCTGAGCTCTTCCCATGTGGACCAGAACATCATTTCCACAGCTGTATTGTGGACCATGATGATGGTGATGATGATGGAGATGATGGTGATGATGATGGAGATGATGGTGATGATGATGGAGATGATGATGATGATGGTGATGATGATGGAGATGATGGTGATGATGATGATGATGATGGTGATGATGATGGAGATGATGGTGATGATGATGGAGATGATGATGATGATGGTGATCATGATGGTGTGATTATCATGATGGTGATGATGATGGAGATGATGATGATGATGGTGATCATGATGGTGTGATTATCATGATGGTGATGATGATGGTGGTGTGTTTGCATACAATCTGGTGAGTGCAGACTTGCAAGTACTTGTGCATGCATGTGTACACACCTGTATAGGTTACAGATAACATTGGAGGGCAGAAGAAGTCACTGGTCTCCTGAAATTCAAGTTACAATTGTGTGTAATGCCTGATGACAGTGCTGGGAACTGAACTTGGGACCTCTACAAGGTCATTACACACTCTTAACCACTGATCCACCTCTCCAGCCTCCACAATTGTTTTATATATACAAATGAATTGAGATGAAGTTGCTGTTAAATAATTGAAGACATAAAAATATATTTAGAATTTTAATTAGGGTGAATACAAACAGACTCAGGGAAAGAGAGGAAGGTGTGGTTAGAGGTCTTTATACTTTGTATACTTCAATGCGAAATGTATTAATTGAACAGTAAAATAGTGTATTGATATCAAATCCATATTATTACCCTTGTTCTTTCTAAAGATCTATTCTTTATATTTTACGTGTATGAGTGTTAGCCTAAGTGTGTGTCTGAATATCACTTGCATGCCTGGTGCCGGCAGAGGCCAGAAGGTGGCGCCAGATACCCTGCAATTGAAATAACAGGCTGCTCTGTGGGTACTGGGAAGCAAAGTCAGGTCCTCTGCAAGAGCAGAAAGTGCTCTTAATGGCTGAGCCATTTCTTCATCACCCTGGGGTTCTTTATAGATACTTAAGCTGCTCTTTCTTTTCATGGATCTCTGTTATGTTCTCCACCCAGTGCTTCTTAGTGCCCAGTGCTTCCAAGGGGTTCTACCCTCTTATCAAAATCAGGAGAGTCCATTCTGGAATTTAAGATTTATTTATGGAAAGTTATATACTACTTCTTAAGTTAGTTTCTTGTCCTGAAAGAGATTGTGAGTTTCTGACTTTTCCTCAGAGGTGTGGAGATCACACACACACACACACACACACACACACTAAGAGGAGCCTGAACATGTTATATAATTGTTTCATGAAATCAGTTTCCACTCTGATTTTCTTGCTCATATTTCTGGAAAATTCTTTTCACTTCCTTTCCGGATTGTGGAGAATAATCCCACTTTTGTGTAAATGTTCTAGATGGGACACACTGCTAATTCCTTACTCTATTTGTGAAGAATAGATTCTCCCAGCTGTTGATCGGAAGTTCCAGACAGAGTCTCATGCAGCCTATGCTGGCCTTAAACGAATTGGACTGTTAAAACTGGCCTTGGACCTCTCATCCTCTTGTCTCAATCTTTGAGTGTTCAGACTATGGGCACATGTGAGCACACCCAACCTA